CTGCAGCTGTGTAAGGTTTGAGAGTCTGAATTGCCTTGTATTTTATACACCCAAATGTTTCTTTAAAAAAGAAGAATCTTACTTAGGGCCACATAACTATGTTTTCATGTCTGAAGTTCTAGTTAAATAAGTGGAATAAGCTTAGGTTGATACCTCTATTGGGCAGTCACTTGCACACACCCACGAAAATACATTTTGGGGGTGGCAGATTTGACCTTGATTTACCCTCCATCAGAAGCTTTTATTTGCAGGCTCCCCACACAGTCTCTGCTTTTCTGTGCAATTGAAATGGGTCTCATAAAATAGCTATTTTCGTAAGGGCTGTAAACCTGCATTTTAGTTTTTACAAGATCCCAAATAGCGCTTCCGATCATCAGAAGGCTGAAATGAAAGCCAATTTGAAACCCTGGCATTGTGTGTATTCAAAAAGAAAGCAAGCCATATATACTGGTAATCTGAGAAGACTGCAAGTACAAACACAGAATAGAACACCCAGGCAAGGCAGAGCTCCAGGGCCAGGCTGACACTAGTACTGTCCCCCCTGGACTGCCCACTGCCCATCCCTGGCCCAACCCAGTGTTCTTTTCTCCCCGCTCTCAGATACAGAAACTTTTTTCTACTTAGCTTTACCATTACAAGTTTGGATTTTTAAAAGAATTAAAAAACTAAGGCGGAAAGAAAGAGAGAGAGAGAGAGAAAGGAAGGAAGGAAGGAAGGAAGAAAAAAGGAAGGAAGGAAAAAGGGAAGGAACTAAGGAGTGCCAAGGGACAGGCTTCTAATGCCATCTTAACCACAGTTTGGGCATTTGTTAGCTTGGCAATGAAACCACTGGGGTGCACACTTCCTGTTCCTTCACTAACGAACAGCACATTTGCGGGGACTCTATCCATCAGTGCTGGGACATCTTTACTTACTTGGAGGCTACCTCAAGTGTAAGTGTCACTGGGCTCCTAGATGTATATTCCTGCTTTAGATTCCTGCTTTACCTTGTGGTTTTACAAATGAGGAGAGCGTTGGGCTCATTTGCAGAACAGCTAAATGGCTGCTCAGAAGCTGTGACGACTCCTCACTGCTCACCCCTTAAACTGTGCCCGCCCAGCACCAAAGCCCAGATGCTCTCTGCAACGGTCTTCTGGAGTTTATCAGTTTTATAATATTAATCCATTTCAAAGCATGTTTGAAATAACAAACACATTTCTGATCAAGAGAAGAAGGGCATTTTACCATAAGAGCATGATCAAATTTTGTATCACTCATTGATTTTCATCTTTAATTTATTTGAAGTCTTGGAACCTGGGGGCTGGCATTGCCCATACTGACTGGTGCAGACAGAAGCTTGCACCGTCTTGAGCAAATTCATACTAAAGGAGGAGGCTTGTAGAAATATTGGAGCTGATTACTAGATACGGGAATCACATTCTTATAAGGTTGGGGCTTCTGGAATGTCAGGCCCAGGCAGTGACTTGCCCTATAACCTTGCACTTGAAAGGATCTAGAAGCTGGGTGGAAACGAGGGCATCATTAAAAGCAAAATGCTTCTAAACTCCTGGATAAGGTTATAGATTTAAAAAAAAAAAGTAGCACTTGCAGGCAATTTAGAGTTTAGGAGGTCGCTATGCTCTAAAATTAGTAGAGTACTCAGGAAGAAAGAATATAGGTTGGCTAAACTGCTTCAGTCCCATTTTCTTTCTTTCTTTAAACATTTTTTTACATAAAACAACATTATATTGTATCCACTCAACTAGATTGCTTGTCTATATAGTAAAACATTCTGCTGGTAAACATTTTGGTACTTTCCAGCAATCAAACAATGCAATCAAACGAGGTCAATCATATGAGGTTGACCTTACATAATCACTCTAAAAACATCGTTAGGGACCCCTACAATACTTTTCTATAATTCGAATTTTCTTATTTACATGTCTGATCTTAACAGGTGGCTGCTCAGGCAATGCTGACACATTACTAGAAATGTGGTCCTTATTTTGGACAATTAAAATATCATGTGCTGCAATTCTCTCCGTAGAATCCGTAAATATATTTGAACTTCTTCTAACACAGGCACAGAGTCGTTGCCTTATGTGGGTCAGGTTGTAATTGGGTGATTCTACTAATGAACTCCGGGATGTTTAATAGATAGGGATCTATTACTTTAAGCTGCAGTTCCCCTCTGTGAGTGAGTTGGAAATATTTCATGTCGTTAATGAACATTTCAGGGCCCTGCAGGGCTAAAAGACAAAGACCCTTCTGGGGCAAGGCCTGGCCTTTCCTTGATTCCCCGTTCTGACCCCCCCGCTGACTGTCCTTGCAGGACTGCGCTTTGCACAGCTACAGAGACACGAATCTGCCCTTGTGACCCTTGGCCCACGACCACTGCAGTGTCCCCTTCTACAGCTCTGGAACAGGGTCTTAGAAATATGTTTTCTCCCCTGGACCTAGTCAAACTCCGGTGATCGAATAGAAGTGGTTAATAATAAGCAAATGTTACTACTGGAAACCCTGGCCCCTGGTAGATAAGCTGCAACAATTTGTTGAATGGATTTATTTCAGTACGGCCACACTGACACTTGCCGTTAGGAAGTGGTATGGAATTGAATACCTTTGCATTCTTGCTGTCCTCTTTTCAGATTCCTGATTCGAGAAGCCTTTATTATGCATGCACAAAATGCAAGACGCAGGTACCTTGGTACCACGGCAAGCTACTCCTCTGGAATTCTTTGCTCTTTAGCCTCTCACATGAAAACATCCTCTTTGCCACAGTGCTTATTTTCTTCCTGCTGAAACCTTTGTGTTGATGCTACCCTTTCTCTGGCACAGAGAAAATAAAACCATTTCTGGGGAATGAAAGACCAGGTGCTCTGATGTGATGTGTTGCTTTCTTCACCAAACCCAACTAAAGGATGCTAGTGTCTAGAAGTAGAGACGCCAGAGATTAAAATGTTTCCTGGACATAGCCCTTGCAAAGCAAGGAACTATTAAAAGTGGAAACAAAGGATGCGTGGGTCTTCTGTCACCCCAACTGAAAGGCATCAGTAACAGTCAGCAGCATCCCTAACTAGAGATGCCCTTGGCAGGGACACACGAGGTTACAGTGCTTAAACTATAAGCAGAATAGGAAAAATGAAACAGTATCTGAGGAGGAAAGAGCAAGCAGTACGAGCCATGGATGAAAAGAAAAAGCAAATCTGAGAATGGGTAGACTACTGGAAGGACTGCCTAGAACCTTAACCTATTTGATGCCAAACTTTTGTGATTAAATAGAAACTTTTACAGTTGGTTTTAAGAAATGTTATATGGACAATCTAAAGCCTCCTAACCGAAACCAGTTAGATACAGGTATCTAAAAGCAACAAGGACAGACCCTCTTGCCACCTCAATAACAACTGCCCTGAAGTCTAGGCCACTGGATTCCACCACCCCTGAGAGAGGATTATAAAAACATCCTTTTGGTAGTTCAGTGATGAGCACATGTGAATGGAATTCAACACAGTCTACTTAAAGCTGAACTTCTCCAACACATTGGCAGTGCTTACTTTTGTAGTACTACTTTATTTAGCATTTGGGTAGCCTCCCTTTTTCTCTCCACTTGGGATTGATCCATCCCTCTTTTTCACTTACGTAGAATTTGTTCGAAGTCCTATTTTAGCATTCATGATATTTTTTGTTGTTTTGTTGGTAGCTGTTTGTGGGCCTACCTCCTACACTAAACCTAGAGTTTAGAAAGCTCTTTCTTTTCATGTTGGTATATCAAGCACCTAGTACGGCACACAGGATACAGATATTCAATCAAGCAATGTCGAAAAAATTTGAAGATAATTGGTTAGCATGATTGAGAAAGAACATGTCAATGAGACTGATGGTTCATCTGAATTATTGGGCTGCAAGAGACTTAAATGGACAGACTATTGATTGTAATGTACAGATGGAGAGTGATGTACTTCAAATATCTTAATTTGTTAGCAGAGTGAAAGCAAAGTGATAGTAAAATGTATCTGAGTCCCATGAAAAGGACTGCTCTAATGGGATTATGGTCAAGTGGAGTATTTACAGAAGAGGTCGACGTTTTCTAAATATATCAGCAGAGTTTGGGGATAGTATAGTATATTTTAGAGGACGCGCTTCCAGACTTGCTCCTTGAATGTAACTTTGAAGAGTAGTAGGGATACAGCGTATCAACGCTCTACACTGCACTGATAGTAACGTGCAAATACCTTGTATATGCATTTTACCAAGAAAGTGGGTTGGTTAAATACTGTCACCGTAAAGGGCAAAGGACTCAGGAACATTTCTCCTGCATAGTTTTTGTTTAGAAGAACTCCTTGTTCTCACACTGTAGAGCAGGGGCAAGTGAGGGCTGCTGGCCAGAGGCCGAGAATAGCCTCATCAGGCAGAACGACAGAGCCGGACGCTGTAATCATGGGGTCTGTTAACAATGGATCTCATCTGCCTGGGTTCTCCACCGTCCATTATTTTTTTTCTTAGTTCGACTGAAACTCTCACACTGGGCTTCAGCTCAAATTTCTAATTTGGGAAAGCGCGTGTTGTCTGCCTCTCAATGCTTTCCCAGGACCATAAGCCCTCAATTTCCGCTTCCAGGCAATGAAATAATTCTCATTCCCAGAGCAAATCTGATAGGTCTTTTCAGAGAAAGCCATAATTGGTGGCTTTGCTGGAACCACTGAAAATTAAAGAGAGTGGGGTTGAAAAACCCATGTGAAATTAATTTTCTTTGCCTACCGACAGCTAGGATTTAGGGGACATGCCAGAGGTTCGCTTTCCCTCGACTTCTGATTGACTGAGACAGGAACATTTTTGCTGCTCTTCCCTAAGGTGCTAGAGTCTTGCTGAAGGACCGTCAGGGAATCAGGCAGGGACCTGGCTGGGAGAGGGAAGTGTCATTCCCCTCTGGGCCTGTTCTCTGGCTGTTACCTCTCCCGGTGGCTGCGGCTCCACGGCAAGGGGGCCTTTGGGGTGGACGCAGCTGCAAGCTCTTGACCTACCTCTTAGCCTCTTCAGCCTCTGCTCCCTCCGCCTCCTCCGCAGGACGAGCAGGAGCACGAAGAGCAGCAAGACTCCCACCAAGATACAGGAGATGGTCACCAGCATCTTGAGCCCTTCGTTGGTCGTCAGCCCTTCTTCACTTTGGACAACTGACTTAATGAGTGGAGGAATCGTACCTGAAAGCAGGGCCACGATGTTAGATGGCTATTAATTAATTAATAGATGGCCATTAATGAAGACGGCATGGCAGAGTTTTTAGGGATGAGGGGTTACAAAAATCGCGCTGTGTGATCCAAGGGTGTTGGAGGTGATGGGAATGAGAGGAACTGGTTCTCTAAGCCCTTGCTAACCTACTTTCTTATTCATTCCCCTTCCTTTGCCCAAACTTCCAGCTGACTCCACCGCACACCTTTGAAAGGGACTTCATTTTGCAACATACTGCTGGGTGCAGGCACTTGAAAGCATAATGCCCCGGCTTGGTACTCACAAAAGCCACATGCATTTACCCAGAATTAAGTGTCCTTTTGACTGTCACCCACAGCACAATTGATAGAGACGAGTTGAAAAATTGCACATCAGAAAAGGAACAATAGGTTTGGCAAATGGACAGAAGAGAGTCTGCAGGGAGACAGTACCAGATACACCGGCTTAAAGAAGCTTAAACCCCTTTTTATTTGGTTATCCTTTGGCTTTTTATCACAGGCGTAAAATGAAATCTGCTTTAAAAAACTGCCATTTTAGGGTATAAGCGCTACAGACAACTTTTCAAAGGGGACCAATCTAGGTCTTTAAAGCAAACTACTATTGACCAGGCAGTGTTAAACAGTGCTATGAAATGCAGATTATTTAGAGTCATAAGGAAATATTGAAGGGCAATGAACTCTGAGCTGTTGTATTTTAAGCTGCCCTCTATCCCGACGCTGAACGCGATGGGTGTAGAGATTTAAACACGGGCATCCGCTTTTTATGGGACATGTATTTTGCCATCCTCCATTATGTAAGAGGCTCCGTCCCACCGTATATAATGTAAAATAAGAGCCAGAAATTCAGTGCTTTAGGAGAAAGAATGCAAAAACAATATGATTTCCCCCTGAGCAAAGATGATCTTTATCTTGCATTTAGTGAGTAGAGCAGGGATAATAGACTCCCTAGTCCCTTGATCTCTGCTAAAGACAAGAAGAGTATTGTTCCAACTTTACAGTGTTTTTTCTGGAAACCCAAGTCTCAAAATGCTCAGAAACCAGGTAAAAGGCACTTAAGGGGTGGCTGTGACGAGGGGTCCACAAAACCAAGACAAAGACAAGGATGGGAGGAAACCTTTGGCTAAGGAAATGGCAGAAGAAAGACAGATCAAGAGAAGGAAGACTCCGAAAACCAAGTGATATAAATGCGAGGCTATTTGGTGACGCTTGTTTTCCCCAAAATAAAAAACATCCTTTAGGCAGATGTGACAAAAGAGATATTAAAACTATCTATCCATCAGATTGGTTAGAAGAAATCTGTAATCCCGTGTAAGGAAAATATACATAAGCATTCTTATTTCCTAGTGTACTAAAATCATTTAAGAGTTCAGAAATTTAAATGTAGCTCATAGGACTTTTTCGTAATTCGTGAGCCTGGATAAAGTGAGAACATTATATATTTTTTAGAAGACAAACACTTAACATCTGCAGAGCACTGCGTGAGTCAGAATCACAGTTTCGAATGCTGTACACAAGTAGCTGCTAATGAAATTATTAGCTGTGAGCACATCATTGGCGCACACCTCCAGCTGCGTGCTCTGACCGTTGCACTATCGCAGAGAAGCTGTGGGTCAGAGTGTGCATGTCAAAGGTCAGGACCCTAAAGTAAGAAATACACTTACTACCCAAATGTGTATGTGTTAACAGAGGACTTTGGTAAGTGTCAAAGTTCTTTATTTTGTAAGACCAAATAATAAATCCACTTTAGGGGGAGCAACCAAGTAGGCACTGCTGCTCTGCCCGTGGGGATGCTCTGTGACGGGAACACCTTTGAATGAAGTTGCTCACAACTGAGGGCTAAGTGCGAGAGAAAGGCAGCCCAGGAACAGCATCGGCCTTGAGAAGAAAAGTCCAGGAGCAGCACAGACTCCTCCAGGACCACAGACCAGAGCCGCAGCAGAGGCCAGGGCCTCGGGCCGGGGTAACCAATCCAGAGGGCTTCCCACTAAGGACCCTGCAGCCCTGGGACCGGCTGGATGTGCCGACGGGAGCCTGTGCTCTGGTGGAGGAGGACTCCGTGAAGAAACGGCCTGGGAAAGGAGATTCGGGGCTGGGTCTACCCTGTGTGCCAGAGCAGGAAGAGCCAGCTCTCGGCCCTCTGGGACATTCGAGGAGAAATCCACCAACTGAGGATCCCAGGTAACATCATCCTAAGCTCCTTTCGGTCGTTTCTGAGGGTCCTTGCATTTATGGCCACTCTTTTCTTAGGATGGTATAAGCCGCGCTCCAAGGAAGTTCCTGCTGGAGCGTTAATGAGCAGCATTCCAAATGCATATAGCAGAAGAGGCATCGCCCCCGAACCTGACTAACGGTGAATAAAGAATTTGGGCATTTCTCAGTTAACTCATTCAACACTGTGGTCCAGCCTGATCAGTGGGGCATGGACAGATGGCTTGGAGGGGAGCTACACCAGAGCTCCAAGCATCCTGAAGGATTGCTGCCAGTGTCACCTTGCAAGTAGAGCACCGAATTCAATCACTGCTGTTGCGAGAGTGAAAATCACTGCAAGGCTGCAGAAATCAGCATCAACATGCTACAACTGAGCACTTTCTAAAGTTCCCTCACTAATTAACATCCAAGGACGCACTCCCTTTCAGCATCAGGGAGCTGGGCATTTCTTCAGATGTCAATCAATGGCCTTTGATACTAGCAAAAAGCTTAAAAATTTAAATCACTTATTTTCAGTCACACAAATGTCAAGAGACACTTTGCCTGGTTTTCGGAAAGTTCGCACAAGCTGCGAGTGTGTGCACACGTGTGTGCATGCACATTGATATTCTACTGTCATTCTGTTTTCCCCAGTGCCCCTGCTTCTGCCCAGAGACTAGCATAAGCTCCTTTACTATGGAAAATTGTTTTTGCACATGCAGTTTAAGGGCTTAATGAGTGCAAAAAAGAAAGTTGTCATGTGGGTTGGGATGGAGGGAAAGGGTGGGAGACAACAAAAGCAATGTTAGCTCATGGTCATGGCACAGAACCACGTGGTCAAGACTCCTTTGGGAGTAATCACTCCTGCACCAAGATTCCCAGTGACATTCCCTTTGGCCTTCCGTCCCTTATTTCTGGACACACAGCCATGGTCATCTGGAGACAATGAACTAGGGAGCCCCACAGAAAACCAACTGAACACCCCCCCCCCACCAAATCTAATGGGCTCTGAGGGCACTGGTCACACTATGGCAGGGATGAGTGTTCCACGTGCACAGCCCCTGAGATGCAAACAGAAGGGCCACGGAGCCAGTCAGCTTACTGCCGTCGTAGTTGAGCGTGGCGAAGTTGGCCTGCTTCTCGGCACAGCCGGCGCTGTTGCACACTCGCATCTGCAGCTCGTACCACGTGGCTTCCTGCAGGTCGTACAGAATGTAGGACTTGGAGAGCGAGGTCCGCTGAGCCGTGGTCCAGACCGTGGTCCCGAAGGGCCTGTACTCCAGCGTGAAGGAGGTGATGGGGCAGCCACCGTCATTCCAGCCGATGAGGTTCAGCCTCACACGCGTGGTGTTGATGCTGGCGAAAAGCTCTTGCTCCTTGGAGAACTGGGGCTCTGCGGGAGAGGGCACACGGGGGTCAGTTCCTGGGGTACATGGGTGAAAGCCACCAGAGCCTTCCCACATTTCCCTCGGGCTGCCTCTCCAGCCCAAGTCTGGGTCACAGGCCACTTACAACTTGTCCGCTATTAATAGAGACCTTACGGACCAATGGGCTTTCTCCAACCATAATGGCCTGGGTGTGAGGGAAAATTGGGTGGGCGGAGGCTATTACTGTGTATCTTAGAGTTCCCTGAAGAGCAATGCTATTAATATTTCATGGATGGGTTTCCTTCAGAGTTCACACGCCGCATTGTGATGGGTTGACCTGTTTTCACTCTCACACGATGGACCTGCCTCAAGAGAGGACGGGTTGCATTCAGGAAGTACTGACAGATGTCCCTCAGTATCCAAACACGTGGTCCTGCAGCCCAGGGACCTAATGGATGCATTTCTGCATAACTCGATCCCTTATCATCTGAACACTTAACCACCTGTTATCCAAAACCTAGGCAGCAGGCCCAAATAACACCCTTGCCATCTCGGCTCTCACTCTCCCTCCATCCGAGCCCACCCACTGGCAGGTTTGGGATGGGAGGGACACCTGCAAAGGCCTTCTCTTCACCCCCTCACTATAGCCACAGAGAGCTACATCCCTCCCTCTTTCTGGCATTCCTGGGCTGCCCGCAAATTCCTCTTCTGAAAGTCATTTCCCTGGGGTTCATTGTCCACATATTAGATACAATCCCAACTCACACTGAAGTGTTCACGACCTACCCCAGTCATCTCCCACCTGCGAAGTGGGGACAATGAGGCAATGTGAAGACTATAGGAAGATGGGGGTGGGGTGACTAAGGGTGCCTAAAAAGGGCTAGCAGGGCAAATGTCACGATTCATGGCTGCCCACCCTTGGCACCTTCTGTTGGCCCCAACACCTTTAATTTTCAAATGACCCTTTTCTTTTTTTAAATTGCAAATGAAATAATAATAAAAAAAGAAAATCAGAATGCTGTCAAGGAGGAGCTAACTCTCTCGTTACACTGTAATGCTGTGGAACCCATGTTAGGAATAACAAAGTTCAAATACATGAGCAAACACGCGAACAGACGGCAGAATTTATTTACATACAATTGGAATGGAGGATTCCAATCCTCACTTATGGCAGGGACACGGAGGACATCTAGAAGCGAGGGAGGCATACCCACCTTTCCCTAACGTCTTTGCCTCTATGATTTCGCTGATGCGTCCGGGGCCCACTCCATTTTGGGCGGTGAGAGTGAACTTGTACCAAGTCCCACATTTCAGGTTTTCCAAGCGGTAGGAACGTTCGCTTGGGCTGATTGGAAAGCTCCCCCACTGCTCGCTGTTGTCCTCGGAGTACTGCAGAATGTACCCTTCGGAGGAGGAGAAACAGTCACGTGAGGCTCGTGTGCTCCTGCCAGAGGCAGACTGGCGACTGCATGTCGTGGGGGTAAAGGGATGAGAGTTCTCAGAATTGGAACAGCTTCAGGAGGGAGCATTTTAACGCTTCCTGATTCCGGGAAGTTGAACCCAGCCTGGGAGAAGCGCTGTGATGTATTTATTGGTGAGGTATTTGGGCCGCAGCAGATATTATTACTGTGGTGATATTGCTGGATAGTGTGGTGCAAATGCAACTGCTTTCTGCTCCTTCCCTTTTAAAAGCCATATTGGGCAGCAGGGAATAAACACTAAGTTGCTAAATAAATACTGGCCCTTTGGAGCATACGTGCCTGAATCCTTGGGCACAGACATAGGCTGAAGCTGAGCTATTTTTAGAGAACCAAAGCACTGAGAAAGGCAGGTGTTACCTGTGGGGTAGGGATCTCCTGAGCCAGCGCCTGGCCATATGCTCCTGGTCTGCCAGTCCACAGACACTAGGGGACTGGCTCCAAGTCCTGCAGCCACGCCAACATTTCAATGGTGACCTGGCTTCTCCTGCCTTTGAAAATGCCCTCCAGCTATTCACTCCCCAACAGGACCATTTTACCTGTTTTACAACAACTAACAGCAACTGTGAATAGTGATCACCATCCTGCACAGCGGATGGAGACACGGGGTCCAGAGCGCCAAGGCGCCCTCAGGAATATGCAAACCCCACAGTCGGCCTGAAGCCAGGCTCTCCACCCCGCGGTGGCTGAAACATCCTTCCTCCTTGCCCCTCCATCCCCGTTAACTGCAGCCACGTTTCTGGGGGCAAAGGTGTCGCCTCCGCTCTGACTGGCCTGCCTGGTACATAGTGTCCTTGCACCAAGGACTGGAATCTCCCACCCTGCCCTGCGGAACTCCAAGGCACTTGTCACCCTCCACACTGCAGCGTCTCCTGGCCCAAACGGGGAGCATTAAGTGCTCTCCAAACCCCTCCCATGGAATCACTCATCTCTCACTCCTCCTGGTGGCCACGGTCAATACCTTCCCTCCTCCTTTCGTCTTTCCCTCCCCTCCTGGCCCTCTGTAGCCATGGGGTCCTTTCTCCCTCCCAAGCCTCATTTTCTCTCCTTTGAGTTCCTCATCTGAGCTCCTCAAAGCTCCTTTGATACCTGGCAGGTTACACCTGTGCACTCTGTGATCCCACGGTCACCTCCAACCTCTGCTCCAGCTGCCATGCACGTCATGCAGACTGCACCTCCCACCATCGAAGCCACTTCCAAAAGCTCCTCTAACCCTTGGCGATGGGCCCGCGTGGGTCCCTGTTCCCTGCTATCGTCCTCAGTGACGTCATTGTCCATCAGCGTGGGCATACCAGACTTAGACACCACTCAACGCCAATGGCTGTGACCACTGCTGTATTTCAGGTTGCCTTTGTCTTGGATATTCTTCATCACTAAACTTGACTTCACCTCTATGCCTTTGCACTTTGACACTCTTCTTGTTCTACTTCTCCCATGGGTTCGTGCTTGCAGAATCCAACCTCATTTCATTTGAGCCTAGAGCCTAGGGTCCCTTGAGCCTTCCCTGGGTGCCCCATTCCTGTTTTCCTATGAGAAGGTTGTCTAACCAGCCTAGACCATTTCAACAAGGAGCCTGGTTTCCCTCACTGTTCTGGACTGTTAACCACACTCCTCTTGCCAGATACCAGCTTTGGTAACCTGTGATCCACTTTTCTTCCCAGCTGCCCAGAATCATTTAAGAAAGTCACTAAATTGTGACCACTATAATTTTTGCTACTTATCTGCAGCTGGGTCCTCAATGCTGCTTGGCAATGACTTCGTTCATCTATTAATGACTCCCTATGCATTTCGCAAGGCAGCTGTTACAAATCCATCCCACGCTCCTCAAACCCACAAACACATCCTCACCCCTAATCATCCAACTATTTTTAAAAAATAGCCTCACCTTTTTTCTTTCCTATAAAAAAGGAAAATACTCCCTTTGGTGGAATGATGATAAATGTTTAACAGTTGGCTCTTGGAGAGAAAAAGAAAAAAAACCTGATTTGTAGCATTTCTGATCCCTGTGGTGTGTGACAATTCCCAGCGTGGCTGCGGTCACTGGGTGCAAAGCTGGGAAGAGATGGGACAGCTTGCACCCCGGAGCCGGAAGGAGCTGGCTGCAGCAGACCCTGGCTCCACCCTGAAGTGTCCCTGTATTTCCTTCTCATCCATGCTCTTCTCTCAGAGGAAGGGTATTCTCTGCCTTCAGAAGTCTAAGCCCCTCATCCTCTCTCACCACCTTGGGACCTCTTTTGTGACTCAGCCTCTCTTTCCTGTGTCTTCTGTCTCTTTCCCTGGATGAACTTCCTTTCCTTGGTCAGCAAATTGCCCAGAATGGAGTCTGCCAGCTCCACTTCTGCTAGAATTATCACACTGTCCCATTCCTTTGGTATGAACCTTGTTTATATTTACCTACCATATGCATGGTAGGTAACATGCATATGCAAACAGATTGTTTCCCATCTAAACTCTAGCTTCTCTGTCTGTTCTCACCCTATAAGTCAGAACAGTAAGTGTGGTTGCTTGAATCAATGATTGGCAGCATTGACAAATGGAGAAGAAACAGTATTCAGACTCTCAGGGAGGAGTTCACCAAATGTCTTTTTTTCTCTCTTTTTGCGTTTGTTAATATTTCCCTCAGATGGGATGCACCAGAATAATTTGTGAATGAGATTCCTTGGATGAATGATTTGAGTTTCAACAAATACCCTAAAATTAGATATATGGTTTCTTGCTTAGGTAACAGAGAAACTAATTATAGGATATATTCTTGGGGAGAATAAACTAACATATACCAGTTACTTGATGGAGAGGAGTTACTTATTGGGCTCTGGACGATACAATTATTCCACTATTGTGAAAAACCCGTATCTTATTTACCTCTGATGGAACTGCCCCCATTGTCTCCAGGGAGCCAGGAAAGGGTGATGGAGGAAGACGTGGTTTTGGATACTGTAAGTCGAGGCTGATCTGGTGGCACTAGATAGGAAACAGTTTTTAGAAAACAAGAATTAGTTTTTCACATCCTTAATCTTCTTGAACAGTCATTTACCAAATCATTTTTTAACAGCCATTTATTAAATAAGTGTTTTAGGTTGCTAAAATATGCAATTCACTTCTGTCAAACTGTCTGTTTAGTTGATATCCCAAGCTAAAGAGATAGAGTGAATCTATTATTTAAAGGAAATTCAACCATATTTCTACTTGGATTTATATCTAACTCATTTCTTCCCCAATTCCTTGAATTCCTGAGTTATTTATTCATCACTAATTGAAATCTTCTTTAAACTTACTCAGGATACATGCATTATCTTACTCTGAATTTCAGCCATGAAATTCGAGTGAAAAAGATAAAAGGCATCCACTTAGCTGTTCTGTTTGTCTCAGGGAGGAGAAAGGGGAAGGGGAAGAAGTAGCTAGTGTGACAAAGAATTGCAAAAATGTCCACATTTTTAGCTACTTTCCTAAGATGAAACACACACACACACATACACACACACACAGAGCTCTGAACATCACAGGTGTGCCACTAGGCTACAGCACGTGAACTAAACCTTCCTGCAAGGTTTGCAGAGTATATAACTTACTTCTAAACAATGGGCCTCAGTATAATTTTGGACAAGTCCTGAGGACAGAAACACTAAAGAAATTCAGAACCAGGTTATCCAAATTATGTGCAAAGTTTCATATAAAATGCCTTTCTCTTTTCCTCAGAGAGAGGCCTGATATATTGACCCAAAGGCCTGAAAAATCGACCCGTCTCTTTAAAATCACATTATAGTGCCTGTCTTCCAGAATGCTCTGGAATTCTCCTGACTTCAATTAACTTGAAATTCAAGAACAATTTTGCCGTGACTTAAAAAAATATATGATCCTTCTCATCCCCTTCCATCCTGCTGAGGACAGTATTGATTTTGTTTTTACTTGCTGTAATCTATTGATGTGACAACACCCACACCTAAAGAAGCATACACTTTGATTTTTCTACGAATAAAATATCACTGTGCGTTCAAATCGGAACCCACTTGGTAGCTGTTTGGGATTTTACACATCATTTTAATATGACAGTCTTTTGAAGTTGTGTACATTTTATGTATGCTATCAAGAAAAATTAAGTACCTTGTATTAAATACACAGCTAAACATTACAGCAATTTACTTAGAGTTCAGTTAGTATTGTTTTTATATACACTAATACAAAAATTGAGTTAATTAGCAGACACAAAAGACCACAGTTCAGACTTATTTTTTGTTTGTGTTTTCTGGGTTATACTTACACATATGTAAACAGTGCAATTAGTAGAAGTTATTAAGAAGGACTTTTCCAGAGATGCACATATAAAGAAAAAACAGACTAGGCATTTATATGCAAAAATGTCTTGCATCCCAGTATTATCTCTGGGACGTTGAGGGCTTTTCATTTACTTTGATTTGTTTAGTTACATTTTCCAAAATAATTTTTTTTTTGTGATATGAAAATCAGTGTTAGCTCTTTATAAGGCCTGATTTTTTAAATTGTTCAATTTTATTCTTTGCATATAAGGCATACATGCTAAAGATATTACAAAGAGCTCCCAAATTCTGTACCTTGTACTTGTAAATTTAAAATGATTTCATCGGATCCCCAGTTGTTATTGGCGACGCAGCTGTAATAGCCGGAGTCTTCCGCTTTCACCGTGCGGATGATGAAGCTCCCGTTGCTAAAGATGCTCCGTCGCCCATCAATCGTTACCAGACTGGGTGTCCCGTTACTACCTCACAGGAAGAAAAATGCACAGATTAAAGAAATTACAATCCAAATTAGCTGAGGTTGGGGAAAAGCATAAAGACTCCCTTTGAAGCAACAACACGTTTGGCAGCTTAGTATTTCTTGTATTGTGAAAGAATTAGACTATGATTATACAATAAAAACCAGCAATAGCTGAGCAGCTGAGTTTCTTCATTATAAAAAAAAAATGTTATGCTAGGCCTGTGTGAAGGGCCTGGATGCTGGCTTAAGTTGGTGGCCCCTTACAAGTGCCAGGGACTGTCATATCGAGGATGGGTCACTCTTTCCTCCACCCTGTGGACACTGGTAACTTCCTCTTTGGGGCAATACTGGGAATTCCTTCTGTGGGCAGAAATGCCAGTTTGACCAAATCAGTTATGGGAAACTCAGTCTTGGGATCTGTTATAGATTCACTTAGGGTCACAATTCTTGATGATTTTGTCATTAAAAAATGAAAGGAGTTATCTCGAGAGGGTGATGAATTGGCCCTAGTAAACAAAGAATTCTCTGGCCACCATACCCACTGCCGTGGTGGCAGACTGCCCAGTCACCTGAGGTCATTCTCGCCTCAGGCAGAACGCCAACTGGACCTTGGGGCTTACTTGTTTCCTTCGGCTTAACTTTAAATGCAGTGAGAAAAGTGGTCACTGGACTGAGACAATTTTTTCAATAGTTTATGTCTTTTAAGTGTTTTGTTTGAAAACAGGCACTCTTCCGAATCCATTATATCAAATCTCTATGATCATAAATGCATTTTCAACCCTTTATTTATATCCTAACTTCTTCCTCTGAATAGAGATGAAGCACTTTAAAAAGCTACACGGACAGAACACATCTCACCCACTTGCTCCCTGCTACCTTGGCTCCTAGTATTTTAATAATTACTATGGAGTGTGAAGAACCAGATTTTATATTAGCAAAGTCCTAATGTGTTCCATTTCTTAAGGTTATTTCTTGGAATATTCAGGGTAGGATTAGTTGGTTTCTTATCTCTGAAGGAGAACAGATAGGTGTTAAGTCTCACCATGATCTTGGGTACGTTCATTTCAGTTATACAATTTATCTGATAAGGGGCAAGAGACTTTCACAATGATTATTCTGTTTGGTCAGACTGCTTTCCTTGCAAGCATTCTCTTATGAATTTAAAGGCTCTGAATTTATATAGAAGACTGATGCAATAGATCAGTGGTAAAGATGAGGTTCCTCCCCTACCTTCATCTCAGAATAAGTGGTAGCTTTCCTTGAGCTTTCACTAATACAAATACATACAAAGTTAGAAGACCACTAGACCCAACACCAGTACGTCACACACAGTCTTTTAGAGTTTCACTGAAGGCACACATTGGGTTACTGGTTACCTGTCTTTCATCCATTTCACTGCAGGTGAAGGGTCCCCGACAGCTTTACAAGGCAAGACAATGTCCTTCATCCACGGAGTGGTCACCGTCCCACTGAATGTCAGGATTCGTGCAGGAGCTGAAGGGCCGCACAGAGCAGAAGCCCAGTTATCCCACAGACTCGTCCACACAGAGATGGCCTTCCCAAATAGAGCAACACCCCAAAACAGCAAGCGAAGCCAATTAGCATCACAACTGTCAATGCTCTTCCCTGGTACCAGGAGTACAAGGGATTTTCGTTGTAAGAACATACAACTAGTGGAAAATCCCCATTGTAGCATTTTTTTCTTCTATTGACTAAACACGAGGAGTCCAAATTAAATTATTTTGGGTTTCATAAGCCAAGCAGCTCCAAGCTGTGGTTTCTATGAGTACAATTATATTTCTCAAAGCACTTTATGAAACAATTTATCTCAACACCAAAATTGCACATTAAAATATGCTTTTAATATCTGAGAGAGTAGTAGACAATACAAAACCTAAAGTCCCCAGAGACAAGAAGAAGTAAAACTGGAACAACTTCTATTTATCAATTTTGTGGTACTTTCCTGATTTTATTATATCAACTTGATCTTCAGCATACACATTAAGGAAAATGAATGTTTTCAGAGTGGCCTCTCTTAAAGAACAAACATTTGCTTGGGGCAGCAATTCAGACACCCAGACAGGAGCACCTGCGGGGGCATCTGGCACTGGTGCAGCCCCAGTGTGGCAGGAAGTCCCAGGAGACAGACAGGAGAAAGCCAGATGAACCTGCCCAAAGAAGGGTCTGCGTGAAGCCCAGAGTAGCCAACGATGACAGGCTCCTAGTGCTACGTCCTTGAGTGAGTCACAAAAGCTGGCAGAAACACCAAACACAGGTCTTCCAGAGGGAAACAATCTGCCCGGCCTTGGACAGATGCCGGGATGCTACTTTATGGGGCGTGAACAGGAGCCAGAGGCTGCACCCTTCCTTTATTTTAGCCAGCAAGTTTCAGGGGCTGGGGACACAAAGGAAACACACGCTCCCTCAGCCTGGCGAGATGCACAGACACAGAGACGGTAGTAGAAGCGGCCCTAATCTAATCTTGGACCCATTAAAAAACAGGACTGGTGTTGGGACCCCTGCACCAATTTGGGCTTGAGGGTTTGCATTAGCAAAGGGAGGTGCAGAGAAGGCTCTCCAGGAAAACCCTGGAATCCCAGGAAAGGCAGGATCCCCAGAGCCACATCATTATGGAGCCATCTTTAATGCCGACTTCGGTCATTAAAATCTACAAGACTAGTTCCTCCTAGCACTGTGGCCAGAGTGTGGAGAAAGAAGAAGTGCCAGAGGGCTCCAAAGCTGGATTTTGGTTTTTGAGTAGTGAATATTGCAATAAAACGCATGTTTGAAGCAACTTCCCCTGATTGAGTATTCTAAGGTAGGGTCCATGTTATCAGCCATTGACATTGCTGATCTTACTTTGTGATAACTAAGAGATCCCAGTCAGGTAGCAGCAGATTTCTGGCATTGGTAGCTTTTAGTATTTTTTTTTTTTCAAACTTCTCAGACTGTGCTTTATATGGTGGGGAATGTTCTCAGCAGTAAAATGGGGGTGATTAGGGAAATTCAGCAAAAGTTAGGGGTTTTCAAGCTTTTTAACAGTTACCCACTTTAAGAAATATATTTTACATCAAAACCCAGAGAGTATACATATATTGGGATGTTTGTATGAGAGAAAACAAAATTGTACAAATGAATACTTTATATGATGCATTCTGATACTTTCTGCCTTTTCCCTAGTCTACTCTATTTGATTCTATTCTATTTTATTCCACCGTAGTTCTTTAATATGGAAGTCATAACCCCTCAAACTAATTCTAAGACTTATGAATGATTTCTCAGCAGCAATTTCCAAAGCGCAGGCTAGAGCTACTTCATATTCAATCCCAACACATCCCGTTTCTAGAACTAAATGCCCATTTGAGGCAATTGAAATTTAAAGGATCCTAGCTGGAAATTCCATGACCTGCAGTTCTCAAACTGAGCAGGCAAGAGAATCTCCTGGAATCTTTATTAAAAATTCAAATTCTCACGTTGACCTTATTGACTCAATGGGTCTTTCGTAGGCTCAGGGAGTTTGCCTTGTAACAAGCATCCCAGATGATTCTGATGAGAACCTCCAGTCCACCTGCCACTTGGACTTCCCTCAGATTCTGGTCCTGTTCTCGATCACATGGCCATGCTCTCTGTGCCTCCCCCTGCCCTGGACGCCTTCCCAGGAGGGGTTCCTCCAGCACGGGTGCCGTGGTTGCACACTGCCACACCCTCCATAGAAGCCGCGGTCCTCTTCTGCAACCTAAGTCTGCATTTTGGACCCTGCTGTCTGGCAGCAGAGACAGACTGCTGTTGTTCTGCCTCCATCTCAACAACTTCCCACCGCAGTCTCCTCTGCCTGTGGGAACCCCGCCTCCCGGGTTGGCCCTTCCAGCCCTAACGGTTGGCCAGTGTCCGGGTATCTGGGCGGCGGCTGCCAGACTGAGTGTCTGCTCCATCCTGAGGTGGTCGCTAGCTTAGCCCCTTCCCCGAAAACCTGCCTGGATCAGCCCTAACTCTGGGAAAACCTCCTTTGAACATGAGAAGCGGAGTGTGTTTCTGGAGAAACGACAGAGCACTGGGGATCACTGTGCACTTCTGGTCACCAACCTCAGCTGGACCCACAGCCCTCCCTGCCGGGCTCACTGTTTCTTCAGTACCTTCCCTCCCCCGCTGCTCCTGCCTCTGCTTCCCTGCGATGACAATTCTCTACTGTCCCTCCTCCTCTCACACTTCTGACACCCCCATCCCCAAATCGCCTAATGCTTGATGGAGGAAACGGAAGACACGTCTGTGGGCTTTGCGTTTCTCGCCACCGAATCTATAAGCCCAAGTTTCCTCCTCCCAGCCACAGTCCTGTGGTCATCAGTTCCTCTCCTGTGTCACCAATTTCTCCCTCTCTGCTGGAGTCTCCCCCTCACTGCACAAACGTGCCCTTGCAGCAGCCCTAATAGAAAACACAAAACCAGGACCTTCCTCAGATGTGAGCCTGCCCTCCCTCCACTTCTCCTCTCATCACTTCTCCTAGGCACTGTGTCACCAGCTTTCTGCCGGGTCTGCCTCATCACCTCCATCGCGTTCTCACCGGGCCCAGGCTCACTCCGACGGGCCCCTCTGCACCTGCTGGAGCTGCCCTCAGGAAGGTCCGCGAGGTCCTCCTGTGGCCAAACCCATGGGAATTTTCTGCATTGCTCTGCTTGGCCTTCCCAGACGTGGTCTCCAACCCCCTCAGACGCTCCCTCCTTTTGGAAGCGTTTGTCCTGAGGTCCCAGCATCGCACCCTCCTGGGTCCCCTGCCTCTTGGGCTCACCCCTTTTCCTCTGCCTGCTCCCCCTCCTGTTTCTCTTCGGAGCCAACCCTGGGCCCTCACCTCCCGGCTCCCCTCCATCTCTCAGACCATCTCATCCACATCCCAGCTGTTCAGGAGGTCCAGGCACTGACCACTCTGTGTTTCTGCCTCCTGCCAGATGTCTCTTGAGTGCCAGCACGTGCCCCACTGCACAGACACCTCCTAGTGGATGGTTGTCGCATCTCGAGTTGAACATTTCCGAATGTCCACATCTCCTCTCACCTGCTTCAAAACCCACTTTGTCCACGGTCTGCCACACCAGTGAGTGACACCTCCCCTTACAATACTGCGTCCTAGAATTTGGGGTTTCATTCCTGCCATCTCCCTCTCCAGCCTCCTCGTTTCTTCCGACACGTCCTGTCAGTCCTGCACCCACGGCATAGCCTGGGCCGTCCACTTCCTTCCACCACTCTGCGACTCCGCCAGTCTCCATGTCACTGGGTGGCCACCCAGCCTCCCCACTGGTCCCCTGCTCCCCGACCCTTCCCTCTCTGAAGTCCATTCGGGAGACAGAGACCAGTTGGGTCTTAAAAACACACTCGCCATTAACTGTAAGAAGTGCACCGTTTCATCCAAGGTGTCTGTGATCACAGAAACTAGGTGGGGGGCAAATGGCAACTCTCTGCACTGTCCACGATTTTTCTGTAGAACTAAAACTGGTCTAAAATAAAGTTTATCGCACACACACACACACACACACACACACAGACAAGTAAGATCATGTGCTTCGTTGGCTCAAAACCCCACACTGTCTCCCTGCTTCCCTTCCAGGAAGATCTGAAATCCTGAGCACAGTCTTTAAGGCCCTGCACGACCAGCCCTGCCTGCCTTCCCCTGCCCCTCCAGGGCCCAGCATCCTGGATGCCCCACACGCTAAACTCTTTCCCAGCTGGGCCTTCTGATATTGCTTTCTTCTTCCCTGCTCCTATCATGGCACTTACTCATCCTCGTGGGGCCAGGTGATCCCCTCCCAGTAACACTCTGAGTGAGGTCCCCTCCCACTGTGCCCTTACAGCACGGATTGCAGTTTGTAATTACACATGTGCTTGCATGATGCTTTGTTTACTGACGGTCTTCCCACCAAACTGCAAGCTCCATGAGCAGTGGACACGTCAGTTTAGATCATCTTAGAAGATCTCTGTGCTCACCAAACCTGTTTCCTTTTCCTTCTGGACATGACTGACTTCATTTCCCAGCCCTGCTTTGAAAATGGGTAGGGTCCACGCCTTCACTTTATGCAATGCAGCGTGGGTAAGAATAGTGGACGTACTTCCGTGTCTGGCCCACGAAAACCTCCCATAAGACCCTCCATGCTTTTTCCCCTATCTGTGTGGCTGGAAACGAGAGAACTCGGGGTTGTAAATTACAGGGTGGGAGAGGCCTGGATCCCTGCACGCCTGTATGGAATGGGCCACCCAGGAGAGCCACCTGGCCAAAAAGATCTGTGTTGGGCAATTATTATGGGGAGCCACTGAGATTTAGGGGATATTTGCTTCAGCAGTCAAGCTCCTTGGACTAAATTCCTGGTACACGCAGCACAGTGCTTGACATATAACAGGCACCCAGAATGACATTAAATGACTGAATGACATTTAATCTCCCCAGACAAGACCTGCTCCTATGGAAGTAGCCAATTTTCAGTGTTCCCCTCTGAGTACACCATGTCCTGCTGCACTAGCCAGCCCATTTCTGTTATGTCTGGAGACAGAACTTCTTGAGAGCACAAAGGAAAGGAAGAGAGAATGTTATTGCTAATCCTACATCTTTTGTTGAAGTTCCTTTTTCAGCCCACAGTGCAGTTTTTATGCCCAGAATTTTCTTTCGTGATCACTGTTTTCTCAATGTCAGGAGTGGCCGGATATCACGACCGAAGAGTACAACAGACACACAACTCCACCAATTCAGTTCCTTCCCAGTTTACCTATTTCCCATCTGTATTTCAGTTCAAAATGTGACACCACTCTCTTTTCGCTCTCACTATCTTATTCCGCCTATTTCTTGGCTATCACATTAACTGGCACGCTATCAAGAATCCTTGGGAGTAACACTGGAATCTTGGAATGTATGTCTTTCTAGGGTGCTCAGAGGCTGTATTAGTAATAAATTGCCAATACTCTGTACTCCCAAATCAGGGGGCATCTCCCGCTGGCCTGGAATTGTGATATAAGAAAGCTGACTTTCTGTGAGTGCTAATTTAGGGGGCCTTGTAAACACTGGATGGTGGAAACTACCAGAAGTATAATAAGAATACTCTGTGCCTGTAAGCACTTTTTAAGGACCAGGCTAACATCAAAATGTGAAGATATTACATTCACTTTTAGGAACTTTTTATTCTTTGGTGACTCCAACTTTCCACTGTCCCTTACAGACTTTGTTTATAGCATTCTATCATAGATGATAGCTAATGATTTTCTTATATTCACAAGGTCCCAAATTACATAGATCATAAAATAGACATTTCTCTTTAAGAAGTATGATACCTGATTCAGATGAAAGCAGAAACGTGCTTGGGAGAATGCTATGTGGTAGTTTTCACCTACTCCAAGTGAGTGGGAGCTCCTTTTCCTCATTTTCCCAAAGGCGTTTCATTTGTGAAGCCACTTTTCCTCAGTTCTGTGCTCCGCTAGGGGAGTCCTTTTCCGATTGGACAAAAGCTAAAAGCAACCCAACCTCTTGTGCTGAAATGTGATGCTCTGGTTTACTTAATTTTTAGGGCAATATAAGTTTTATTTGAGATAGAACAGAGACTTAAACGCGGTTGAATTGCGCTGGGAAATGAGGTCCTTACTACGTTGCGCACCTTTGGCTAACGGCTCCACCGTGATAATCTCACTGCTGTTGCCTCTTCCAGCTGACGTCACTGCCACCACCCAGACGCTGTACTGACGATTCCGACTCAGGTTAGGGATTCTGTAGGAAAATGAGTCAGGGGAGGCTTCAAATTCGCTGATCACCTGTGAAAGGAGACATAAATGTTCCCACATTCAAAGAAGCATATGGCACAAATGAATTTTCTAAAGGAATTGTTATTAACACATCACTCATCATAACAAACGAAAGTCACAACTCGCCTCCCTCTAAAAGGCTGGCTTTGCAATATGAAATACAATTAGCAAGTTTAGGGGACCCAGAGTTTTCAGTTTTCCCTGCAGCAGCTTTGATGGCTGCCAATAAGTAACTTAACCCTTTAAATTACAGGCCACGGCACTTCTGTTTTTGGCTGAGATGGAGTAAGAAGAACTAGATTTACTTTCCCACCCGAAACAACTGAGAACACACAAAATATATGAAACGATGGTTTTCAAGGCATTGTGCATCAAGCAGTGAATGACGGTGATCTCTGAAAGATGGGAAACAAATGAGGTGAGCCCCGCAACTGCAGGGTTGTTGCATTTCTGAAAGAGTTTCCAGGCATGGCACAGGGGAGGGAAGCCAGGAGGAGCCCAGCAGCTTTCCTGAGTTGGGAAGACAGAACTGAGAGACCAGAAGGAAGCCAGAGTTCACAGCGAAGAGTACTGGGAAGAGGAGAACAACTCGCAGAGAGAACGCTAGAGATTTGAAGAAGGTTCCACCTGAGTATTCAGCTGAGCAGATCTGTGTATGTACCTGAGGAAACGACCCAAGGCCGGGGAAAGAACTACCTGAAGTAATTGGAGGTCACAGTGCCTCACGCTCACACAGGGCTGACAACAGTGCCTGCTCCCACCAGCCAGGCTGGAAAACATCAAGATTCATGGACCACTGGATATAGTACACAAGGGTCTTACCTTGAAGATGGGAAACAATTAGCCTTAGATTGAATGCCACTCTAGTCCTGCCTAATGATTCTTAGAAGCAAGATTTAGAAAGATTGAATTATTGCTAAGTAATGTAACTGTATCCCAGAGCAAAGGTCATGAATATTTATAGGAATTAAAATATCTAGCCCTCCAAAAGGTAAAGTTCACAAAGGTTGACATCTAATAAAAAATTTTCACATATGAACAACCCAAATATCTTTCAGCTGATGAATGGATAAACAAAATGTGTTGTATCCGTACAATGGAGTACTATTTAATAATAGAAAAGAATGAAGTCCTGATAAATGCTACAACTTGTATAAATCTTGAAAATATTATGTCAAGTGAAAGAAGCCAATCAGAAGAGACCACAAATTTATTATTCCTTTTATATGAAATGTCCAGAATAGGCAAATCTGCAGCATCATAAATTAGACTATGGTTGTTCTTAGTTAAATCTCTTTAAAACATAATTGATAGTTAAAAATAATAACAATGCAATGTGGGTTTATAACATTTATAAAAGTAAAATGTATGATAGTAGCACAAAGTTTGGGAGGAGAGTAAGTGGAAGTATACTATTGTAAGGTTCTTATACTATATGTAATATGTATAATATCACTTGAAAGTAGACTATAGCAAGTTGAAAGTGTATGCTATCAATCTTAAGAAAACCACTGAAATTACAAAATATAATGCAAAATAAAGCTAATCAATCAACAACATAAATAAAATGGAATTATATAAAAACTTAGTAATCTAAAGGTGGCAGAAAAAAAGTAACAAGGAGAACGAATAGGACAACAAAAATAAAACCCAAATAGCACTATCATAAATTTAACCATATCAATAATTGTTTTAAATGCAAATGGTCTAAACATCTTAATTAAAGATTGTCAGACATGATATAAAGCAATACCCAACTCTATGTTGCCTGCAAGAAATGTATTTCAAATATAAAATCACAAATAGCTTAAAAATAAAAGGCTAGAAAAGATATCCCATGATAACACTAACCAAAAGAATATGGAGTGGCTATATTCATATCAGACAAAATAGATTTAAGAGTGAAGAATATTACCAGTGATATAGGAGGCAATTTCATAATGATAACAGGGGTCATTTCATCAAGGGGACGTAACAATTTTAAACATATTTGCCTAATAACAAAGTTTCAAAATACATGAAACAAAAGCGATGGAACAATGGTTCCTTAAAAAATCATTGTTCCTTAAAAAGTTCTAATTGTTCCTTAAAAAGTGAAATAGGTAGAGCTGGTATTGGATCCATTTAACAGATGAGGAAACTGACGTTCAGGGGCAGTAAGTGACTCGCTGAAGTCACAGTGCCAGACAAGGGCAGAGCAAGGGCTCAAGCTCAGTGCCCTGGTCCCAAGTCCAGTTTCCTCTCACTTCATGCTGCCAATTGTGAGCAACCGAACACAAGAAGGACTTGCTTTCACCCTTGCTAACTGTTGAGTAAACTTCATTTCGCTCAGTAGGATGCATAAATTGCAACACTAGCTCTGCAATTGAACAGGACAGTCAAATCTTAACTATACCTCTTAATTGCCGTAAAATCCCATGCTCCCTCAATAAAAAATAATGTTCAAGAATTGCCTATTGTCAAATATTTAACTTACAGAACACACTGTCAGACAGAGACCCCCTTGCACGGCTTCCTCTGGTGCACACGTACATTCTCAGGTGCGTCTGCACCCCACTTCATCCCCAAGCACCCCCAAGACACTCCTGTCCTGTCTTCAGAGTATTATGGGAAAACTCGTCCCTCCATAAGTTCAGAGAGAATTTGGCTTGTTTCCTCACAAGCCGAAGAGATAATACCAAGACTGTATATGCTTGTATTGTGTAATGCTCCAAGGCTGTGTTGTTGCCAAGTTAATTTTACAAAGCTTAATGATGTGCAAATTATAACAATTGCTCTTACTGAACATTAAGCATCAACAAAGCATTAGAATATATTTATAAAATAAGGATTTTCTGTGCAAAGCACATAGCTTTCAGTTAAAACTCAATACGCATCCTCTCTAGGAGGTACAATTGGTCCTGCGTTACCTCTAAAATACACATTTTATTTAACTTTTGCCTGCAAAGTGAAGCATGGCTAAAATCAACAATAAAAATAGGATTTCTTACGCAACAATATTTGTTTCATCATTTCTATAGATTAGCCAAGATCTGAAGTAAAAAAAGGTATATTTATGGAAAATTCCTTCAGTTGGAATGACATTTCTCTGTAGATTAGGATGCAAAATAACAGAGTCAAGCTGTTTAGTGGCTCCTGTTGGCTATTTGGGAAAGTCATTTGCACTAATGTTGCTGTCCTTTGACCACACTGTATTCCCATGATGACTACCACAATTAGGCACCTTTTTCCTGGTCTTAGTAAGAAGGGCAAGCAGAAAGTTTCCAATTGAACAATTTAAACAATTTTCTTTGGAATATATATATGTGTGTGTGTGTGTGTGTGTGTGTACACACACAAAATTTTTTTTCTTTTCTTTGGCATACAGTTAATATCCATGTAACTGGATATTAAAGGTGACCTTTCCTGTTCTCTTGAAGTTCTAGCAATGATCATAAAGTATGAGACTACACCCAAAGATGCCAGTACCTTCTTTCCTAACAAGGGCTGTGAGGCCACCTATACAGGACTTACTGGCTTTGATGTCCTGCCAATCAGCCATTTCTGGGATCCAAAAGAGGCTGAGTCAGGAATAAGGATTTTCTGTTAAGGGAGGTCTGCATGCATTCCCACCTGTGGGCAGGAAAGAGTGATGAACTCCAAGGGAACCACCTGGAGAACTTGGGGTCTGAAGGACATACAGCTTGGTAAGTGAGTCACCCCTGAGGAGGTGAAAGGCTCACCGTAGTGGTGGAGGCTTGCTCTGCTCACAGCACGAGAGAGGCTGTGCTGGACTGGATGCCACCTCCAGAGTTAGGTGGGCTGAGGATGCCTACAGGTGGACCCTAGAGGAGGCAGCAAGACTGGATGTCTAAAGAGGGAGGCCGGCAGGCATGAGATGCCTCCAATAGAGGGATGCAGTGAAAATTCTACAGTATTTATTGTAAACAGAATACCTTAGCTGTAGATGGTGCATAATTTAACCACTGTTAGCCATTTTATGAGGAGGTAGCAGGTAAGGGTGAAAAAAAGAGCAAAATGGGAAAAAAAAATAATCAGATGCTCATTCAGGGTAGTGAAGTAAATCTATTTGATTAAATCCTTCTCCTTAATGTTCAACCAAAAATGCTTGTTCTGAAAAGAAGGGATGATGAATATTGTTTCCTTATGAAACATTTTCCTTCATATTTCAATGAGTTATAATAGCAGTGACTATATTTACATTTCATTAATTTTCTTTTTATTGTAGATACCAGATTTTCCAACACAACGGTCCCATGGTGTGCAAGCTGGCTTGCTAACTTCCACCTGCATTTCATCACGGAGCAGTTGCTTCCAAATACCGGGAAGATTCTGTGAGAAGGGATCATTTGTATTTCCAGATCTCTCCTGATACTTCTGATGGGTTAATATTGCAAAGACTTTGAATCATTAAAAAAAAAAAGGGAACAGAGCGGGATTCACTACGAAGGGCAACAGGATAAAACACTGAAGCACAGAGAAAGGCAAACTCATAGCAGAGGTTCTTAGGGAATGACGAACCAAATAGGGCACAAGGAGAAATTTATGGGGAGGTGAGAAAGACACTTTCCTCAATATTTAAATATTTAAGTATATAAATACTTAATTTTCTTCAGTTAGATTTTCAGCTCTCTAGCCTCCTCTTCTTCAGAGGTGACATAGATATTAGTCACCCTAAATTTCATTATGCCTACAGTGTGAGTTAATTCTGAGTGGATTACTATAATTGGACTAAACACTTGATTTAAGAGAAGACTTAGGAGTTACCTAGGAGTTAACCTCCTGACCTGTGGAAACAGAAACAGTCAGCCTTACGACAGCTCCAGGGCCAGGCATGGACCTGAGCGTGCTTCATTCTTGCCGGGGACGCTGTTCCGCAGCATATTTTTAATTCTGCTTATTTTAGTCTGTCCAGCTTGATGAAGAAGTTGAACACTCTGGAGTGGGGCTGCAAATTGCTCTGCATCTGCATGAGTTCCTGCGTGCCATGTGAGAAAAAAGCCTGTTCT